AGGTGTCCCTGCCCATGGCAAGGTCTTAAAGATGGTCTTAAAGGTCCCTTGTAGCCCAAATCATTCTGTGATTCTCTTTCTCTTCCAAACTACTGGAACTACTTAAATAAATGTTTTTCTCTATTCTGTTCTTGCCTCTGCCTTTTCCTCCCTTGCAAAAACTTTAAAGCTTGCAGGAAGAGATAAACCCAGGAATAAAACTATTGTCAGACAGCACATGTGAGACCTGCAGATGAGTATGAGTTCATTACACCTCTGTGTAAACACCCTGAAATAGGGACTGGAGCTTTTTCGAAGACTTAACTTCTTGACGAGTGTGAGGCAAGATAGCTTTACATCTGGAATGGTGCAGGCATTAGTGAGCAACGCAGTACTTCCTCCTTTTTCGTTTGTGGGTCACACAGTAATGCTGAGCGCTGTGCCGCATAGGACTCTGTCCACATTTTGAACAGAAGCACAACACAGCACAACACAGTGGTCCGAGCAGTGATTCTTTGCTACCTCTTTGGTTATGTAGTCAAAAGTGAAAGCCTCAGCAATAGGTTTAAAATTTTGTAAAGATCCAACCAAAACTTAAGGAGACTACAAAAATTCAGAAGCGGGTTTCTGCAGAACTGATGTAGCTGGAAGGTTTCACAGTGGCTCATCCACGCTTGCTGCTGGTGTCAGTGTGAGATCGTGATGTGTGCCTAGGTATTTTTGTGCTCTTCTGTGGTGAGCCCAGAGCTGAATCACGAGCAGTGTCTCAAATTACTGTCAGCATCCGTGAATCATCTGAGCACATTAAGTTATGTGGGATCGGATCTATGATTTCTGCTCTTCACCTCTGAGTAGAATTCGTTGGCTGAATTCCAGTGAAAGGAATTCACCACTCTCTCTTGTTGCGCAGGTCTGCTCTCTGCACCCAGATGTGAGCGTTCTGAGATCACCACTGCTGCCACGAGGAGGACAGTGTGGGTTCGGCCACTGTAATCACAGGAGTAGTTGGGGAACCACGTTCTGTAGCAGCTGTGATGTAGAAGACTTGGAAAATAGTTTTCCAAAAGTGTGGGGTTTCCTTATAAATATTCTGTAATAAATATTTCTTTTTTTTTTTTCTCTAATGACAGGTCAAATGCCACGCCTTTCTAAGGTCAATCTTTTTACTTTGTTCAGTCTCTGGATGGAGCTCTTTCCTTCGGCTGAGCAACAGAAAAAATCACAGGTAAAATGTCTCTGCTTACCGTTAATTGGTCTTTCTGAACAGATGCTAATAGCTCCTGCAGTGAATTTAACATAAATGCTCATTACATGGCAGATAGTCTAGAGTGGAAAAAAAAAAAAGCTGATAAATGTTTTTCAAATATTTCTTAGAAGTAGAAGGAAATCCACTGATGTGAGAAAATACAGCAAAATGGTTAAATAGCATGCTGTTTCTGAAATGCTTTGAAAGGCAAGGTATACCCCTGACAGGTGAAGCAAACAGTAAAAAATGCTGGTGGGTATTTGGGAAGCACAACAAAGGAGGCACGCTATATACTGTACACTTTTTAGTATATACTAATTATAGCTTTAAAATCAGTGTGGTTGATGGTGTATGTTGATGTTCGTGATTGTAGAAGAGTTTTCTACTACAGTGGAGGTGCACAGAACTACTTGAAACGTTTGCCGGCCAAGAATGTGTAGAAGACTACCTCAGTGACAATGAAACCATCCTCAAGAATGGAGCTTCTAAATAGCTGCCAGTTACACTTCAAAGCAGAGGGGTGTTTTCGGTGTCTTGGAACAGGGTGTTTCCTTTTGTGATCAGTTCCTTAAAATGATTACTACTTTGTACAGAGCATACCCGTGTGCTAAGATCCCTAGCACATCTATCAACCAGGACAAGGAAAGGTAGGAAAATAACTTGAGTGACAGTTAGGCCTAATTTTCAGAGCTTGGTATGTTCCAAGCTGCAGCTGGAAGAGGGATAGGTGAGCACCGTGCAGACTTCAAAAGCAGATTGAAATTTAGTAATTCAGTTAGGAATGGGACTTGAGTTACATGTAGAGCTTTAGTGCAGCCTTATTTGTGTAACCACAAAGACATTGAATGATTTGCAGATGTGAGGCAGCAGTGTTCTGGTAGCTGCTGGACTGCGTAATGAGATATGTTTCATCACCTCCATCAAACCAGCCTGTTTACCTCTCAGGTTTACCTCACAATACATGGGAATCCAGATGTAAGAGTTCTTGTGTGTGGCATGCAGACTTTTTTCCATGGAAGATTCTTTAGAACCAGGATTCATTTGTATAAGTGAAGAGACAGAAATAAAACCAGAGATGCAATTGGCTCCCAGGATGATCAAGATTAAGACAGAAATTAAATTCATGAGCATTTCCAGATGCTGGATGTTTCAGAGGGGTCTTTAGCTACAACTGACAGAATTTTCTACGCTGCTTCTGAGTGTTGTTATGGGCAAAACGATGACCAGAAAAATCAGGAATTTGCGACAAGTCCCTGTCGGCAGTTTGACAGGGTCACAGTACTCTGACATTAACAGACACATGTAGAAACCACCAAAAAAATACTGCTTAGGAGAATTGTAACAGAGATTGTTTAATGACTCTTACCACAGTTCCCACTGAAGATCTACATGCACTGATCCTAGCTGATTACTGGTACCCAAGGAAGAGCTGTAACATCTCTATGGACTTGATGTTGAAAAAAAGTAAAATAATAATGGTAGTAATGCATTTTTCTGTAGGTCAAGAAGAGTGGTCTCGTTGTGGTGAAAAATATGAAGATTATCGGTCTTCATTGTTCCAGTACAGATTTGCACGCTGGCCAGATTGCACTCATTAAACACGGATCGAGACTTAAAAACTGTGATCTTTATTTTTCCAGAAAACCATGTTCGACTTGTTTAAAAATGATTGTAAACGGTAAGCAATGACTGTAGTAGAGTAGAAGTAAATGTTACGCTTGTGATTGGTGCTATCAGAAAGCTTGTTTTCTTTTCGGACTGCCCCCACTGTGAATGCCAATCCATAACTTGTATAGCCTGCACTGGTATTTTCCACAAGGCTGAGAACAGTGTTGAACGTGCGTTTCCTGAAGATGATGATCAAGAAACTCGGGTTTACTACTGAGACCCTGTTTCTCTGTGTAACTGTCTTTATTGGTGGTGCTTGTCTGTCGGGTGGGATGCACTGCTGAGATTCTGACAGACCTGTTGCACTTTCCCACAGCAACTCTAAGCCTCATGACTGGGCCTAGATTGCTACATTTTTCCTTGCTTTCCCATTTTTTATCAGTGGCACCAGCAGAAGTGTGTTTTTTAATGCAGAAATCACAGGGAGTACTTTAGGCTTTCATTTTCCCAAGTGAGATGAAGACAAGTCAGATTATTCACTTCCTGAAATGGGATCTGCTTGTACAGCTTTTCTGCAAGTATTGGGTTTAAATCTCAGCAGCAACTTCTATTAGTGCTAAATTTTTTTTGTGTGGTGTTAATGGATCTGTTGTAGGTAAGAGGCAAAATTAGGCTGCCACAAAGATCTGGGAACTTAGTAAAATCCAATACTTGTCTATAGTCTGATTATTGAGTCTGATGAGCTCTTGATAATCGCATACGCTAGCATCTTTATTCTCCAGACATCCCGTAAGCAGCACTGAGGGACTGAAAGAATAACAGGGTTAGGCAACAGTGTGTTGCAAATGAGGTTTATGTTCCACAGTGCTTGCATATTTCCTATTGCTGCATTATTTTCTCTTCCAGCTGGGGTGAACAGGATTTCTTACTGGCCTGCAGATCCGGAAATCAGCTTGCAGAATGAGGCGTCCAATCCTGTGACTACCGATGATGCAAAGCTAGATGCCAAAGCAGTAGAAAGATTGAAGTCAAACAGTCGTGCTCGTGTGTGCGTGTTGCTTCAGCCCTTGGTGTGCTATATGGTGCAATTTATTGAAGAAACTTCCACCAAGTTCGATTTTATTCAGAAAATAGCAAAATCTCAGCCTGACTCTAATACTGACTTCTATACTGCATGTAGGCAAGAGAGAATAAAAGAATATGAAAGTTTATTCCTAATTTCAAATGAGGAAACGCACAAGCAAATACTGATGACAATAGGCCTGGAGAACCTCTGTGAAAATCCATACTTCAGCAACCTTAGGCAAAATATGAAAGATCTTGTCTTGGTCTTGGCGACAGTGGCTGCCAGTGTCCCTGTCTTTGGATCCTTTGGATTTTACAACAGTGAATCACCGCAAACAAACGAAACGGACCATCAGGGTTTGCCCCAGGATATTGCAAGGCACTGTATGATACAAGCCAGACTACTTGCCTACCGGACAGGTGAGTTGTGACAGCAGAGGAGGAAGAATGGGTCTCAAGAGTTCATGACTTCAGTTCCTGAAGTCTTAATTCACCCAAATGCTTCCTTGAGGCAGCTGCTGAATTCCGGTCCTACATCTGTGAAACAGAAGTAGGTAGCAGTGCAGTAAACTGGTAAGTTCTTCCAGAGATAACAGAATATGAAGACTTAAAACTTTGTGGTACGCCTTAGTGGTGGTTTTTTAGTCTCCGTAAGATAGTTGGGGTTTTTTTTTAATGCTTGTAAACAAACAAATAGTACATATTTAAGGCTTAAAACAAAACCAGTCCCTCAGCATGCATACACAAAACCAACCTATCGAGTCAGATGCTGAATGTGCCCTTTGACTTATTTGAACTTGCTTATATGTAAAGGTGAATCTTCATATTTTGGAACCTTTCCCTTTTTTCCCCCAGGTACCCTCCCCAAAATTGGTCACCAAAAGTTGCAGAGGAGATAGGGTTTTAGAAGTAATTCAGAAGTTGTGTGGAACCACTTGTGAGTTTTTTGTAAAACTGCTGTTGTATAGAGCAAGGTAGAAGAACCAAGCTTGAGAACTCATTCTTGGGGCAGCAAATTCAGTTTTTATCTGTGCTGTTCAGCCTAGACTCAGGTCTGGTTTTTGAGCAAACTCTTTTTATGCTTTAATCCTGTAATGAAGTCCTGATTCTCTATGACATTAAAATAAATAACATCACACACACACCATCAAGTCCAACCATTAACTTAACACTCCCAAGTCCACCACTAAACTGTGTCCCTCAGCACCACAGCTACAGTCTTTAAATCCCTCCAGGGGTGGTGAC